AACCCCGAACCCTAAATCCTAAACCTTACTTCCCTAACCGCGAACCCTCAACTCTTTAAATCCCGACGCTTCAGAGCCGCAAGCCCTGAAGCCCCTTTACCCGGCCGCTTCCCAAGCCTGTGACTGCCGGACAATGCTGAGATACAGCCTGGCTTGGGGGTTTAGGCTTTAGGGTTTTAGGGTCTTAGGGGTTTAGGGCTTAGGGTTTTAGGGTTTAGGGTTTTGCGGTTTTGGGTTTAGGGTTTTGGGTTTAGGGAAAGAAGGACGTGGTATAGAAGAGACTGGTATCTAGTATAGCGTAGTATAATTAACCTGGTAGAGTGTAGCCCAATGTGGTATAGTCTGGTATCCAGTCCTGCAGAGTATAGTATAGTATCGTAGTAAGGTCTCGTTTAGTCTGGTCTAATTAACGTGGTAGCATGTGATATAGTTTAGTCTACTACATCCGTAAACCCTAAACCCCTAAACCCTAAACTCCAAACCCTGAACTCCTAAACCCCTAAACCCGTAAACCCGTAAACCCCTAAACCCCAAATCCCAAACCCAAAGCCGCCAAGACCCCAACGAAGTCAAAGGCCGGCCCTGGACATTTTCAGGTGGGTAGTTACCGTTATAGGAGCCTTATAGAAGGTCTGTATACCTTATAGAAGCCCTATATACCCTAAACTCCCCACCTGTAGTTTCCTTTAACTAGATCCTAAAACCCTAAACCCTAAACCCAAAACCCTACACCCTAAATCCTAAAACCCTAAACCCAAAACCCAAAACCCTAAATCCTAAAGCCCTAAAGCCTATATCCCCTAAACTCCCCACCCGTAGTTTCCTTTACCTCTACCCCTCCATCTACCCTCTATTACACCCCCCAAATACCCACTATTAAGGACCATAAGGGCTCTATTAAGGGGCCATTGGGTCCTGGTGGTTTCCTTTACCTTTCACCTCAAAGCTCGCCGACTCCGACCATGCCGAAGGGGCGTTTCCCTCTGCCAAAGTCTGAGTTTGGAGCGCTAAATTCAATCCTACCTTGAACTACCATGACCTACCTTTTTTTGTGGTTCCTATTTTTTGGACCCTAATATAGACTTTATAGGGACCCTTACGAAAAAGCAGATTTTAATAACTTAAAATATAAAACCGAAGCCTTGAACAAATCTAAGGACGGCCGGAACGCTAGAGCCGTGCTGAAAAGCCTAAGTGACCGTCCTCTCTGCAGCCACGTGTGCCCTGCGGTTGACGATATAAACCCTGCGTTACCCATAATAAGGACTATACCATAATTCCCATATGTTTAGGGTCCTTCAGGTAATGCTAAGGATTTCTATCATCAACCGTAGTGACCCCTTTAAAAGCGGGCTGTATTTCACCTCTCCCTCCATCCAAAAGGCCTCGGCGGGGCATGGCAGAAGGGAAGGCCGAGAAGCATGAGGATGAAGACCTAGGGTTTATAGGGTTTTAGGGGGTATAGGGTTTAGGGTCATGTTAGGAGTAGACTCTAAATTCGGGTCCCTTTTTGGGTCCCACATAAAGCACGGCACCCCGTCATAAAAACAGGCCTTAAAAGGAACCCGAAGTCAGCAGCGGCAGGCTTTCATCCCCGCTTGGGGGTTCATGGGTCGTTATAAGTAGGAGTATGCGGTTCCTTTAAGGGTTCCTTTAAAGGGTTCTATAGGGTTTTTGGGGTTTAGGGGTAGTTATAAGTGGGGTTATAAGTCCCTTAACATCGGTTATAACTATAGTTACCCTACTTATAACCCCCACTTATAGCTACCCATGAACCTCCAAGCGGGGGGTAACTGGGCTAGAGAACACAGTCTTTAACTCTGACATCAGTATCCTTGGGGTTGGGATGGGTTAGACTCCTAGCCCTAAAGCCCTAAAACCCTAAAACCCTAAAGCCCTAAAGCCCAAAGCCTAAAACCCTAAAACCCTAAAGCCCTAAACCCTAAAGTCCTAAAGCCCGAAACCCTAAAGTCCTAAACCCTGAAGGGCCCATCCTGGTCGGGGGTGGCAAAATCAAAGCTCAGTTCGGATGCTCCGGGTGCGAGGTGGCGTCTTCGAGCTTGGACTTCAGGGGGGCTGGGGTGTTTTGGGGCTTTAGGGGTTTAGGGTTTTAGGGGTTTAGGGTTTTAGGGTTTAGGGGTTGGTTTAGGGTTTAGGGTTATGCGCTGCAAGTGGTGTCGCCAGGAATGGTATAAGTGTGAGAATGCGAGGATCCGTCGTCATGACCTTGCTGAGCATTCATCATCACCTTCATCAGTCAGGAGCCTCTAACCCTAAACCCCAAAGCCCCAAGCCCTGAAATCCCAAAAAACCCGAAAACCCTAAGCCCTAAACGCTAAACCCTAAAACCCCAAACCCTAAGCGCCAAGCCCTAAACCCTAAAACCCTAAAAGCTCTACATACAACCCTTATAGAGCCCTCTAAAGGAGCCCTTACAGCCCCTAAACCGAAGCAAGCGGCCGTCAGTCCCAAGGCAGTCTTCCACTGCGAAGGGACCAGGGCAGCGAGGAGGTCATCGCCGCGCCTGGGAGGGGCCGGAAGTGCAGAGAATCCAACGTTAGTTTAGGGTTTAGGGTTTAGGGGTTTAGGGGTTAAGGGGTTTAGGGTTTTAGGGTTTTAGGGGTTAAGAGGTTTAGTGTTTAGGGGTTTAGGGTTTAGGGGTTTAGGGGTTTAGGGTAACACGGCTCCTTTAAAGGGCCCCTCAAAAGGGATACTGTAAGGGATACTATAAGTATAAGGGATACTGAATAATTCGAATAGTGGTTTGGGGTATATTATACTATAGTCATAAAAAGGAAGGCCCAAAACAGAATTGGTAATTATTTAGGCCCTTGCCTTAACAGTATGGAACATACCAGAATCTGTTGTAATCTAGCAGAAACCGTTAACACATAACGTATGTCGCTAGAATCACAGATAAAGCTACACACAACAAGTCTCCTCTATGCTAGGACAACCGAAACAAAAGCCTCGGAAGACCACCGGACCCTCACCCTCCTTCGTAAGGTCTGAGCTACCTGTAGTCTCCGTTGTAGTTCCTTTTTTTTGGGTTTCACCGATTTTATAAGGTATCACCCCAAAGGAACTACAATGGAGACTATAGGTAGTGGAGGCTTTACACCTTTCATCATAAGCGTCGTCATGACAATCGCAACTCTGACCCGGCTAGATCCCTAGAGCGGCTAGACCCTGATC